GGGGGGGGGGGGGTGCACAAACATGAGTTTACACCCTGCAGTTTGGTTCTGAGGGTTGACCCAGTCACACAGGCCTGAAGCTCCGCTGCTGGACGGTGTCTGTTAGGACTCATGCATCATGTCTTGATGAGGGTTGGACGCCATCCACAGTCCTGGAGTGCATAGGTGCTGCAGGTGGTGCTGGGATGCCTGCGCTCGCTTTTCTCCTCCTCTGATCTCGCAGCTTCCGTCGCGTTCCCAATCACAAATAAAGTACAAAGCATCCGTTTGCCAGAACATCAGATCCTGAGGTTGTTGTAACTCACATATGTTTTCTTGGTTGCTTGACCTGTGAAGGAAAGTAAAAAAAAAAAAAAAAAGTTAGATTTACTCTGATCTGTGCTCAAACAAAGTCAAAGCAGAAAAGGGAGCCTCCTGCAGAGGTAAACAGACATCATCCACTTTAGCAGAAAAAGTATTTCTGCTGTGCTGTGAATTTTTATCACCAGCTGTGTGCAATCAGAAGCAATACTTTCCAGACTCGTGTATCATTTCAACTCGCGTGGCCCCCGTGTAAAGCCTCACTTTCTATTTTCAGACATTAACTAGTGGTAAAAAAAATCACAAACGCCACAGAAGTGGGCACCAAACAAATGCTAGGGCATGCAACGTGATCCCAGTCTAGATTACCATGGAAACGCATCAGAATGTGGCCGAGCGCCTCGTCGGTGTTTGTGTTTGTGTGTCCTGCTGCAGCGCTTTCATTATGAGAAGCAATTAAAGCCTCAAAACCTTCTGAGTGAGGGCAGGTTTTGTGTAAACTCGGGTCGCTCGTGTTCGCGGCGACTTTGTGAAAGGATTGTTTTCCTGAAAAGGTTAATTTTAGAGTCAACGTCGGTCTCAGGACCGGGGTGATGTTTGAGGAATGTGCACGGCTGATGTGAAAGTGAGAAAAATATGAATGTCAGCAAACCCACAGCACTGCGAAGGTGTGTAATGTCCCGCCGGTGTGCAGGAGAAGGTGTGCGTCTTCTTAATCCCAGACGTTGCTCTTAATTCTCACTCTGCTGCTTTAATGTTGCCATGGCAACCAGCTCCCATGGGCCATGCAATTAAAATCGCACCATTTCTTTACAGCTGCATTTTGTGGACTCTGCTTGCAAGTACGATGAATAAAACATCAGTAAGTGTACGGCAGATTCAAGCTGGTAACCCTCTTCATGAAGATTTTTGAGAGAGATTTGTTGTTTTTTTTTGTTTGTGTTTTTCCTCTGGGGAGGATTCATTTACCTTTGCTTTCCTCTTAATTTGTCATACTGAAGGCAGCTCGTGTTATCTCACTCCCCACCTTTTTTTTAAACGTGTGATTTTGGCTTCTCCTAAAGGGTTCTACATCATTATTAAAATAAATTCAATCTAAAACAAACGGCATCCACACACACGCCCATTGAGAAGAATTGTACTGGACACCGAATCAATTCCAGCGCTCCTGTCTGAGAGGCACAATCATGAAGGTATTACACCATATCAAAACCAATGTAAATCGGCAGAATTGCTAATGCTCCAAATCCCATAAATCACTCAGAGTCATCTCCTGCAGGGCTGAAGATGGTCCCTGAAAGGGAGGTGGTTGGAGCTCTGATGGTTACTGTAATTGACGGACAGTCTCCGGGGACGGTGGAGCCACAGTTCAGGTTTCAGGGCGGTCATGCACATAAATTTGCCATTAATAAATGTCACTTCCACTGTTGCTAAAAAGGAAAGGCAAAAAAAAAAAAAAAAAAGGAGGGGAGAGTGTGCAAGGCGGAAGGGACTGTGTGAGAAGATGCAGCAGAGACAGAAGGTGAGAGGCGCACGGAACAGATGACACCGTGAGCGTTTGGGACTTCCCTCCAGAGGTCGAGGACATTTTATGTGCTGCTGCAACAGATGTTCGGGTTTTACCCTCAATTCTACGCATGTTTCCAGTCAACGAGCCACATGTGTGAAAGGCAAGGATACGTTTGCCATCCCCCGATGCAGTCGTTCAGCTCTCTCCCCTACATGCGTGCGCCGCTCGTGCAGATTCACACAGACGCACACACACTCGCAGACACACAACAAGCTCTTTGCACCCATGATACATGAGCGTGACAACGGTTTTCTCTGCGTATTGAGTGTTTGGAGAAATACCCTGGAAAATCTATTTACTGGGCATAACTCAGAGAGGGGTTGACGGGATGGAGCACCTGTGGGGGCCATGATGGCTGAACATGATTAGAGATGTTGTGGGAGAGAGGAGGGTGAGACAGGCTGTGGAGTGCAATGTGCACGGCCTGTCAATCTTTTCTGTCTTCATCTTGACACTTAAAGATGAGCTTCCAAAGTTATGTGTCTAAAATACAGTTTTTTATTCTTTCTAAACCAAAACAAAAGCTGTATCGTCTAACCGTGGGAATACATGCGCGCTAATACCCAGCATTATCTTTGCTAACAGGATCACGCCTGCCGTTTCAGGAGAACGGTGGTGAGAGTAACACAGCAGAGAGATTATCTCCCTAAATATTCTGATCAACAAAGCCCTGCTTCTGGAAATCTCTCCTCAAAGCAAGTTTCCCACCTTCTCCTGCCGCTCACTGTCGTGCACTTTGGCTAAAGGTTGAGGCTTTTATCAGGAGAGAAGATAAGGCGGCCTCCTGCAGAGAATACGACAAGCAATTACAGCCACCAAATTAAATCGGCAAAATTGAATTTATAATAAACGAGGAGAAAAATTAAACGAAAGGCGGATAACAAAGAATTCAGATTTGTGTTTTTAGTCACAGATTTATGCCTCAGATCTGAACTCTGGGGACTTTGTGTGCATCATTTCCCGGCCTCTACACAAACATTATTAATTCATTCTGGATTAACAGTCACTAAAATTCATGTAAAGCCAATGTTTGTAGATTTTACCTCAAAGAATATGGAGAACAACATGCACGGCTGCATGTGTTAATACAATGTTACAATATTAAAAACAAAAACATTTTATGTGTTTATCTTAGACAAGCAGCCTTTATTTTAAACTTGTCATGAATAATATATAATCTTTGAACAGATATTATCAGACTGTTTCAGGCTCATATGAGTGACCACAACTGTCTTTTTGCAGCAGATGTGTTTTTGTCTTTTAGGAACATGTCACTGAGCTGTGACTAGTGAGTCAAATGCAACCACACGAGTCTCCAAAGTGTCTCAAAATGTTTCGGAGGGTTCTCAGTCTCTTTGTGCGAGTCACAGAAGAACCTTGTTGCTTGAGTTTTTCAATTCAATTCAATTCAGTTTATTTATATAGCGCCATATCACAACAAAGTTGTCTCAGGACACTGAACAGGAACATTCACACACATAGAAAATCCAATTCGTAAAGTTCTCTATCTAACGAAATGTTTTCAAAAACTATGCAACAAATTTGTGCTCCAGGTAATCACAGCGTTGTTGCAGGAATCTAAAACATTTGTAGAGAGCGCTAAAGATGGGTTTTCACACCTGACAGAAAATATCTGATAAATGATGACTGGACCAGGTTTTTTTAAAAATCTTATTGTGTATGATGTAGGTGGAGGTGGGCAACAAAACAATGTGCAAGGCAGATGCTCCAGTGTTTGCAGACAACGAGCCCTGATTCTCAAAAGTCGTTCGCTCAAAATGTGTCTGCGCTGCTGCTCGCAATATAATAAAAAATGTTTGCATTCCTTTTTCAAACAATTCTATTGTGTTTATTAATTATATTGATTATAATCCTGCATGATGTTATACCTCAAGTACAGATCTGGATATTTAAATCAAGATTCATTTGACTAAGAGTTTTTTACATTTAAGAGCTGTGATCCAGTTTAAACCTGAGCTCAGTTCAGGGCCATACGTGTGTGCATGTGCAGCGTTGTGCTGTGTCCTCACACCGTCAGACTCACTCATAGGGTCAGCAGCAGCAGGGGGGTTCTCGCACAGCTCTGTCTTGGCCTCGCCGTTGGGCCTCTCGCTGGGCTTCTGAGACAGGCGCGATGACATTGTGGCAGCGGTGACCACAGCCTTGAAGCTACGCTTCCTCTTCTGGACGTTCAGCTCAGGGTGGAAAATAATGATGTACACCTTGGGCATGTAGAGCATGCCCAGTGCAACCGAGGCACTGAGGTTCATGGAGATGGTCAGAGTGGTTGTTTGAATGTACAGCTGGATACGAAGCACAGACACAAACAGAAACATGTTTCAGTACAGAGATCAGACTCCCACAGAGTAATGAAGAAATGTGCCTCTTTTGTTTTTGGCACATTTGTTTTCTGCAGGCAGATAAAAGTAACATTTAAATCTGTACAAGGAAAACAAAATGGCACTTTATTGTGAAGGGCTAAGCTGCTACCACAACAAATTGTAGCTCAATATCTGTGGAATTAACTGAATAATGGTGTGTGGTGCAGTTGGTGGAGCTGCTTCCTCTCAGCAATAA